TGTATGGTGATGTATGTTTACTACACAGGTATGGTGCTGTATGTTAATGATAGAGTTGTTCACCCTCAACCTTAACGCTCTGTAATTAACTATCTCCCTTCTGTTTAATTACCATGTTTTCACCCTATGAGAATATTAACATTCACCAAGACTTGATTTGTTACTGTTTAGGTTATAGAGTTGAATTATCAATATACTTAACTTAAATAGGATGATGACGATGATAAAGATGAATGATGATGATGATGATGATATGTTGATGATGATATTATGATGACAATGAAATTGATTGTGATAATGCTAAATCCATGTCCGTGTGTGTATGTGTGTATGTGTGTTTATGTGTGTTTATGTGTGTATATGTGTGTATATGTGTGTTTATGTGTGTTTATGTGTGTTTATGTGTGTTTATGTGAGAATGCGTGAATGTGCTGTTTATGTATATGTATATGTAATGAAAATCTTGGAAAAATAAAACCGTTACAAAAAATAATTTAAAGAATTATACTGTCCATTCATACATGCGATGTACAAGATTATGCTTCATTCATGATGTTATAATTATTTGGTATTTCATATCACTTATGTATCAATTATACGTTGCTGTGTAGGCTTATGAGCCGTAAGGCTTCAATTTAAATAAACAATACAATACTGACAAATTAAAATATATATATATATATATATATTTAACGTTATTACCTTTTTATAACTTGTTCCTAAGGAAACTAGTGTTATCAGCTAACTAGAATTCGTCATTTTCGGATAGCTTATTCATTGCGCAATTTTGAATTTGTCAATCAAACGGGAAGACGCAATTTTGAATTTGTCTTTCCACAGAATGAATTAAATGTACTCAATTCTTATACATGTATATCTAATACAATTAAGGCCTGGTACATCCTACATTGGCAATACCTCTCACAAACAAAGTGAACTCTACCAAGCTAATTTCCCAGCCTTTTTCTAATTATTACTTATCGTCCAGCGTTCAGTTTTATGTGTATTATGTGATTATGTATTAATATATTTCATATTGTACTATGAATTGTATTTACTATTTCAACACATTTTATTGGACAAAAACAATTGAACAATTGGATGAGACAACAGGCTTAGCCTATATAAGTCTTCTCCTAATATGTCTCTTTAATAATATATTTCTCATATGTAATTTTAAGACTTACCCTTGCGACAAATAAACATTAACATCACGACTAACGGCTGTCTCTACATGAATAATCTACATGTATAGTCATTCTGAAAATAGACGATCTGTTAAGGATGTACTCTTCTGAGGTTTTAATCACGTCCAAGACTTCTCAAAGGTGAGCATCCTTACTATAAACTGTAGGTGACAGCATCTCACTAAATAAAAAAACACCGTCTGCTGTAGACGCTAACAAAGGATGACCCCATAGAATAATGATATAACTATTGAATGGAGGCACCTTAAGGGATATTTCAAATTGGAATACCATCACATGGATACCTAGAAATAACACAATGTATCTTAACAACATGCCAACCAGCGGTATGTAAACATAATACTGTATAAACATAATACTGTATAAACATAATACTGTATAAACATAATGTCATTGTAACGAGAACAGCTACATGTACTATAAGTCCCTCAAAGGTGTCCCTGCATGTAGTCGAAAGTTATGCACAGGAAAGAATGTGTTGTCTCAAATAATGCATTTAAACGCGCTATACCATAATACCATAATAGCAAAAGACGGACCGTTGACATCACCTTGGCGTACACACATAAATGACAGTATGTGTCAATCATAAAGGCAATGGCGGCCATGTTTGATGACCTCACCGACCTGAAGAAGAAACGCGTTACGCATATCTACACATGCGCACTTATGCTCATGTGAAGTTTCATTGTTATCCGGCCAGTAGCTAGGTTGTGAGAGAAATCCCGGCAACCGTACAATGGAAGGAAGAAAAGGAACAAAGAATGATAGCGACAATAAGAAACGAAAAATGTTTTATCAGTCGGGGGACTTCACGAGGAAAGGATTCGAAGTAGGCAGCTGATACAATTTTGAGTCCTGCTTTATCTCAAATTAGTCATAGAACCCCTCATATCTAGGTGAGGATCATTATTTGTAGTCAAAATGGAGCTAACAAGGTTAGAATATCAATAAATAAAAGCTTGTTAATTAGATATACACGTAAATAAATGTACTCACCTGTGGATGTTTTCTTCTGTGTTGACAACAAAATATGCAAAGAAAACAAACCAAATCAGTTATACAGCTTTCGTGAACATTATAGCATACTCCATATAAGTTTGAAAATAAAATAATTTGCAATAGCATTTAAAATGTCTATATTTCGATAGAGAGCCGAAGGACGGTACACTTAATTACGTTAATCGGGTTTAAAATAAGTTCCTTACTGGTGATTCGTATTTCTGCAAGTCCAATTCAAAATACGTATTTTGTTATGCTTACGAAGTAAAAACATACTAAAATGCTTCATTGTTTACCCAAACCACAAGAATATCGAAATCAGCTTACGTCTCCGCCATGTTGATTAAAAAAAGACAGGATTCATAGCAATTTGCTATTGTGTATTTTACCTGTCTTATATAATTAACTATGAATTCCAAACGTGAAGTTTGTCCCCTATTGAGGCCAGGCATTAAGTCAATGGTTCCCTATTCAGGATAACCATAGATAACACATTGAAGGCCGTTAAAAATAATCTTTGATTTCGTCGTGTTGAGTTTTGTGATATGGGTTTATTAAAATTTGGTTTCTTGTTTCACGCCTTGTACAACTTGCCTAGACTCAGTTCGCCTGACCATTCCTTTGATCCCCATAACCTTGACTTCTTTGCGAATATACATTCCGTGTTTTGTTTGATGACGTTAAAGTTGTCAAGGCTTTTAACTATTTCAGCGTCATACGTTACAAACGCAGCAACGGAATTGGCCACATCTTGTTCGAGAACTTCCGGTTTAACTAGTGGGTAGAGTTCGGCAAGGATCTGTTTTGTCGTGAATTCTTTCTGCTGCTTCCTTGATTCTATCACAGCCTTGACAACCCTCGGGATATAGATGGAAGCTATTCAATGAAACAAATAAGATGAATTAGGTAATAAAGAACACATCTGATTGAACAGTTCTGGCCATATATATTTCATAACTTCTACAAACAGTCAACGGATAAACACACAAAAACAACGATTCCGCAAAATGTCGTAGAGTTTTCATTTAGGGTGCCCATGCCGTATTTCCAAGAACCTTGCTGAACCGTAAGTCAACCAATTGAGAATATTATTCATATGAGTGATTTGTCAATATTTTGTATGATACCAATAGTGTATATATATATACAGACATCTGTCAACAATTTCAAATTTCAAATTTGATAAAACCACGGACTTAGATAACTTTTTATGTAAGTATGGACGAACCCCGCACTGTTACAACCTGGATGTAATACCAAACAACCTATCTATTTTGAAATCAGTTTTATCACGGAATTCGAATAGCCAATCCCTGTTATCTAAGTCCGCGATAAAGTTTCCCTATTTCGCAATAGTCCCTCTAATGAATTATTTATGGAACTTTCATTTGAATGAAAGATACACTTTTGCTATATAATCATACTCGTTAGGCTATTCTAATCTTGAACACAAAAGTATTATATATAATGTCATCACATGTGGCAATTTCCCGGAATCCGTATTAGATATAAAAAAAAATGCTGTTATTCGGCTTAAAAATATAATTGCACCACAAAATAAGGATATCGAGATAATTTGTTCTATATCTGACGTCAATGCTGAAGAATGCATGCACAGATAATAAACTGTTACATATGGTTGTCTTTGAAAAATGAAATTATCAAAACAGTGAGATATTATGTACCTAAATGTCAATTAAGTGGTGTATAAATCCGCATATTACACTCATTAAAATATCCCCTTTCAAAGCCGCCCTTCTCTGCATTAAAGCCATTTTGGTCTCCGTGGAGTATGATATATAGATATCTTACACGTATGTATGTACATTACCTCTATATTAAACCCGTATACGTCACATTTTACTTTAAAAGGGGGACATGTTTATCCCGTTACTTTATTGGACCTACATGTAGTACATTGAAGTTCAAATACTCCATTCAATTAGTAATTAATGATGAATTAGTCTTAATAGTTACATTAATTAAGGTTATAATTAACCGAATTAACACTACTAATTAGTTCCTTTGCATGTTTAGAATTGTTTTACATGTAAAATATCTACAATATAACCAGTTTATGAGAATAAAGTATTTGTCATTGTATTTCGCGATTTTACATACAGTCAGAAGTAGCCCGAGTTTCCTCTGGCCCTGACACCAGACTTAGACATTTTAACAGATAGACGCCACACCAGTAATCTACCTGTTAAAATGTTAAAGTCTGGTTTCAGGGCCAGAGGAAACTCGGGATAAGTTGTAGGCAAGTGGTGACTGAATAATCATTAGTAATTAATTTTCACGTTACAAGGTCGGTAGTAGCTTTTGAGATATATTGTATGTGGGTTTTGTTTTTAAAATATTCAGCTAACACAATTATGTTGATATTACGTCATTGCATTTCATGCGTTAACCGGATGTTCATAAAAAAAGTTTCGTAACTAGGACCAGCAATTAATTAAGAAAATAATAAGAGCGTAGCTTTCGGGCGCCTTAGCTCTTTAATGGTAACACATGCGTGCGTAAACAGAGTTGCTTCCCCTTACTACACTTTGCCTTTAATTTTTTTCGTCCGGAATTAATTGTCCAGTGGGGAATTACACAGGAAGTGTATCCTTGAAGCAAAGACAACTGTACTATGTGTTTCAACCCAAACATGAACATCTTCATAAAGTGAAAACAATCTTCTTGTTTTATTACTTGTTTACTAATCAAAAAGTCTATCACATAAAATCTGATACTAACAGGCATGAAACTTCGTTCGTAGATTATCATACTATGACGTCACAAGCACGCCACAATCCATTGGCCTTAATCGGTTATTTCCGGAAGGATGAAAGATAACCGGAAAATTCTGATGTCCGTTACATCGTTGTCGGCGCTTCAAGATTTTTTTCTATTTCAGTTTTTGTGTCTGGCACAAAAAGTAAAGATGGGGATATTTTCTTGAGATCCTTTTTGTCATCAACCAGGTTCTGTTAATATTTCTACCGGGAGATATCTTCAAAAACACGGGCATTAAACCAATAGGTCAACGTGTACATTTATGTTTTCATCATTTAAAAAAATCATCAGCTTTTGATTTGCATTTGTTGAGAATATGAACGAAAAATTTAACATTTTTGAAAGTCTGGTTATAGACTATACATAATTTATTTATGCACCACCACTCGTAAAAGAAACAATGGTTAATGCATTTATGACGAAAATAACAATAATTTTCCAGACAACCAACCCGAGTTCAACGCCCTTTTTCAGCAACGTATTATTTTTTCACAACGCGTGCCGATTTATAACTAGTTACAAACAGAAACTGTTAAATTCTATTTTGCATCATTACCTGTCAAACCTCGGTGACAGTTACACAATTTGATATTCAATACGGTGTTTCAGGATGGAACGGTTATTGAGACTACATATCGATATAACGACGATCTCAGTTACATTAAAGTATACATCAGTATTACAATGTGTTCTTTTGTAATTTTAGTTTACATCTCTATACATTTACTTAAACAGTTAAACAGTTTTTTTCCCAAATTAATCTCAATCAGTCTTTTTGTGCCATGACGGAAGCACGCAGAGGATTTAATTCTTAATGAGGCAGGAAGCTCGAGTGTCCGGAGAAAACCGGCGTGGTCGGGCAAGTGACCGGGATTGAATCCGGTCATCTTGGTGAAGACGAGCGCGCTATCCACTGCGTCACTCTACCCATCATATACGTTAACGTTACGCACAAGAATTAATATCTACTTGAGCTTTGACGTACAGGGCAGTAAATAAGTGAGCTTTGACTGGAAGAAAATGGCGTCATTGATGTTAAAAATACATTGTGAATACAATTTTACCAATCATCAATGATACACAAATCTACATACGGTAAACCGGGGCAAGTTCGGCCACCCCTGATATTTTTGTTTTTGAGATAATATTTACATCTTTAAGGATATTAGCAGTTTAGTTGGATAGGCATTGAACGAAAATGTCGAGGAAAACTCTAAAGTAAAATTACTTAACAGGAGAAAAATACTTTTGAGAGGGTAGAAAGAAAACCATGATCTCGCTTCTAGTTATGAGTTATGAGCTACTTTTTGAAACGGAATTGCTACTTTATTTTACAGTCAAACGTGTAACACACTGACAGCTTCAAATGATAATACATAAAAGCCAAGCCAATCACTCACTACCATATTGCTGTACGATAAGAATTTATTGAAATACCAGTTTTGGTCTGAACAGTTCGGCCAATAATACCGTGGCAAGGTCTGCCCTTGTAGTTAACACATCAAACGTCATAAAATTGGCGGTAAAATCTGATGTTGCATGCTTTATGACGTCATAGTTAAGCTGATTCCAATGGGGGGCGAACTTACCCGAATGCCTGTCCGAACTTACCCCATGGCGGGGCTTGTTCGGCCATCCGATCTTCCGACAGAAAATGTTAAATAATGTTCAAAAATGGACGTGCTGCCATACTTCCTAGAACGGACTTTAATAAAAAATTAAATTAAAAAAGGGCCGAACTTGCCCGGTCTCCCCTATTGTTATGTCGTTAATCTCATTAGAGCTTGTGTTTTATTGTTATTCCTTAACATGTTGACTTATCGCATTCTGAAAGCAGTATTCTGAATCAGTAAATATCAGAGATCAACAAAAGCTACGCTCTTTAAAGGCTTTGCCTTTTCATATTATTTATTATGTTTTCTTGGTCTAATTTCAAAAAAACAATATCAATCCCAAATCAATAAACGCAGGATTTTTACATGTGGACGTTTTTTTATATAAATATGCATGTACTTTCAATATTTGTATATGAAGATAAGGAATTCTTTGTGGGATATAATGTATAATTTAAATAAATTAATACTATGATTAAAAAAGGAATAAGAATGAAATATTGAATGAATGGCAGCATCAGAGAGGAGAAGAGAACGAAGGGAAAAGTGGCCTCCTGCGTGAGGCTACATGATGTCAGAGGGATGAACCCGGGCCACCAAACCCTAGCATCCCTCTTAAAAGATACTGGGGAATAATAATATAAATGATTATTAATTTGAACCTAAAAAGTAAGTACTGTACTAGTAAATCGACTTGCATAGATGTAAAAGCATAAGATTTTCGATATATACGAATAAAACGTGTATATGTATCTGAGGCATTTGATTTCTCCTTTCAAATGGCTGTGAAACCATACCTAATGTAAGAAAGATAACTCTTATAAAACTTCATATATATACACACATGTACACCGTACGTGTACGTGTACATGTTACGCCGGGACAAACAACTTCGCTTCATACACATTTAAAGCCAAAACACTTACCTAGAAACAGAAGCAAAGTAAGAAGCGCCGATAAAGTGAGGTGGATGGTCACAAATGAATACAGGAATAAACCAGCACACGCGACCCGCATACATATTACAACCGTCACAATGTTAACCGTCTCGTTCATTTTGAAGTTCAGCACAAGGCAGTATATTTATACAGATCATAGTCCGACTGCCCTTATCAATATGCCGTATTCTTATGATCATTCCTCAAATATCCGTACAAAACGCTTACATCAGCTGTACATGTTTACACGGCGACGTACGAGTGACGTGTATTTGAGCACGTGTGTAGGCCTTGTTTTCATTGATTACTTCGCATGATGCATTGTCCTTCGTTTGAAACGTTTACGAAGGTAGTTTCTGATAATTATAAATATAAATACGTGCCAAAAGAAACTGATAGGTTGAAATAAAGAACATCAATCATGTTGTACAGCTCCCATGTTAAAGGTTTGTTTACGTTTCTAATGATTTTACTTCCGTCTGTCGAAAACAAGGCGTAGATGGCAATAATGTCGTAAAATACAGATGCTTTCAGACAAAGATATAAATGCACGCGTGCTTTTTGTGCGACGTCAAATTTCACTTTTGAAAAGAAAAATTGTTTTGACCTTTCGTCTTCTTAGAAAAAAAAATATGTACAAAAATGTTAGACGGATTATACAATATATAGACATAACAAATAAACAAGAAGTATGCAGAACATGCATACGATGCATGAATAACTCCTTTTTTGTATTATTATTTATTAAATAATCAATGTCACATCTGTGATAAGAAAACGCGAACTAGAAAGCATTGTGTTTTTCTTAACCCAACGACACACACATTATAGTGGAAGTTATCGCCCTTACCACGAGCATTATCATCGATTGCACGTTTTTATGTCAGTACATGTACTGAAGCGACTTCACTTTCCTGGATACATACATGTACATGCAGGGATAATCCTGGAGGGGGCCATGGGGCCCTTGACCTCTCAACACTGAAATTGACCCCTCCGTGTTCAGACTTTATTTTAATTTTATATAGAATGACCCCCTCTTAATATTGAAATGGACTAAAAATGGCTGAAAATGGCCAACTGTTCTCAAATTCCAGGATGTTCCCTGTACATGTATATGTATCTATTATGACTATATAAAATCCGTAGTATACATTAAATTGACCCGATGCCGGTTTATAGCGAATATATATATTTACTGGTGTAATAAAGCCGGATTACAGAAAAGACATAGTTGGATAAGCCAGAATTGTAGTGTTCTTTTTAAGGAAGAATTTTGCTGGAACCAAAAATTTTGGCCGTCTTAGAAAAAAATCAGGATTGAACAGGATCTCGTTTACAATAAACAGAGTCCAATGTAGATATCATTTTCACTTCTGGTCGATGAATATACACACTAATTCCTCATACAATGTTTGTAAGTCTTGCTGTCAATGTTGATAATTTCGAAGATAAATATCATTGCGAGTGAGCCGCATTTTGATGGCACGATGTCAATTATTTCTATAAGATTTCAATCCCTTTGATAATAATTTCAATAATTTTGAAGATGTAATGAAATTATTCCAATCCTGTGTTTTGTTTTGTTATTGATGTCGATCCTTTGATAAATGAGGGGTCCGCGATGGCCACGTGGTTAAGGCGTCTAACATTCTGCTTTCACAAGGTTCGAAACCTACGTGGGGCAGTCGTCAGGTGGTTTTTCTCCGGGAACTCCGGCTTTCCTCCACACCAAAACGTTGCACGTCCATACAAATGACCATATAATGTTAGGCCGTCACTATTACCACCGGAGTGTCAATAGCCACTGCCGCGCGGCGTGGTTATTGACACTCGGGGCATCTTCAACCCCTTCTTACTTGTAGCCCCTACCTAAAAGTCCCTGTATTTGTTGACTCCTGTAATTGTTAACCCCCTAACCTAATAACCAACCACATTCCTATTCCGACAGCTCTGCAATAGCCCCTGAACCCATTGGCCCTCCTATATTTTAGCCCCCTGCCCANCCCCCGCCCCCAAGCTTTGGTGGTGTCCATCCTGCTGTTGTCTTCATTCCTTGTGGTTTTGTCAGTGCTTGTGTAATGTTCCTCCATGTGGTGTTGTTGTTCCTGGTGTTGCATCACTCCTGGCATAGCATGGTGTCCTTACCAGAAGTGATGACATTTGAGGTGGTGGGGTCCCTTCTACTGCTATTTTCAGTCCTGTTGTGAGACCCCAACAGGACTGATGCTACCACTAGGACGGACAACACCACAGCCCGAGTGTCAATAGCCACTACGATTTTTACTTTCTTCACTTCATGAACCTTTGTTGGAAGTTATACTTTTACTAATTGGACCTTCAAAGTGAGGACATTCATTTAGATCCCACACTTCATAGAACGTCACACCATTTAGCCATAGGACAAATTTTCAGAAAAAATATGATCACTTCCTGGTATTGACACCTGAAAATTTCTTACATCTGTTAATGGCATGTTTTACTTAATACATTTTTTCTGTTAATGTCATGTTTCGGTTAATGTCATGTTTATGTTTATGTCATGTTTATGTTAATGTCATGTTTCACTTTATATCATGTTTTACATGACAAATGAGAAGTGATATTAAGTAGAAAACGCTGTACTGTTGACACACTTGTTGTATTACATTTCTTCCTGTCCTTCAGTGACAATTTTCAATTTTAAAATTGATAAAATTATCATTATTTGGCAACACATTCACTGAAACATACAGATTATATATAAATGCTGTCATAATTTAGCGCTTAAATCGGAATACAAATTGCTGAAATAGGATTATACCACTTACTATTGTCCTGTAGAAGCTGGCTTATTCAGGTGTTAGTATTCTGAAATTAACAACAGACACATGTTTCTCAAGCAGAGCTGCTTACAGTGAATATTTTATTAAAGCATTTTTGTATGAACAAACCGAGATTCACAAAGGCTTGTGCCACTCAACAGCACACAACATAACAAAATTCTGTCAAAAAACATTTAAACAAAGAAATAAAATAAAGTCACTCTAAAGTTTCGTACTTTTTCTTTCTTTTCGTACATCCAGTAGAAGAAAGTTTTCTACAAACTGATATCTACCAGTATAATTTCAGTGGTAAACTATTATCTGTGATACCTGTATTACAGTCACTGTGGTTAACTATTATCTGTGAACATTTCATGAACTATAGTTACCTACAATTGCCTCGGATGCTAAGGAAAACTGTACCAAAAGATATGCTTCATTTACTGAATTTAAAAAAAAATATACCATTGGTATTTTTAAAAAGAGTTATATTCTAATTCGCTTCCCTCAAACGAACATAAATTATTTATCATATAAAACTCCAACTCTTTACCGGGAGTTCGTCCGCCTAGCAACGAGGACGTACATATTTATTCAGGTAAAATTACATGGAAATCGGAAAATGGATCCGTAATCCCAGTGCTGTGCGGGAATTGCTGGCCACTTCGTCTTGTCCTTCATGCTCCAAAATAGCTGTACACAAATCAGGTTGTTTCATTCCCCATGTGAAAGGATTGCTGGAAATATAATGTAACAGCCACCCAAAAACTGAACAAGTACTAACAAGAATGGGCGGGTGGGCGGGAAGTCCGGACTGATCAACAGCTAGGCGAACACAGACACCTGTACGTGTCGCTACTGTCCCAAGCATACCTGTCCCACGTGCACTAGTAGCTGCACGTGCGAGACAAGACACGGACATCCCGTCCACTCGTTTACATAACAATGATAAATATATTTATATTCTAATTCGCTTCCCTCAAACGAACATAAATTATTTATCATATAAAACTCCAACTCTTTACCGGGAGTTCGTCCGCCTAGCAACGAGGACGTACATATTTATTCAGGTAAAATTACATGGAAATCGGAAAATGGATCCGTAATCCCAGTGCTGTGCGGGAATTGCTGGCCACTTCGTCTTGTCCTTCATGCTCCAAAATAGCTGTACACAAATCAGGTTGTTTCATTCCCCATGTGAAAGGATTGCTGGAAATATAATGTAACAGCCACCCAAAAACTGAACAAGTACTAACAAGAATGGGCGGGTGGGCGGGAAGTCCGGACTGATCAACAGCTAGGCGAACACAGACACCTGTACGTGTCGCTACTGTCCCAAGCATACCTGTCTCACGTGCACTAGTAGCTGCACGTGCGAGACAAGACACGGACATCCCGTCCACTCGTTTACATAACAATGATAAATATATTTATATTCTAATTCGCTTCCCTCAAACGAACATAAATTATTTATCATATAAAACTCCAACTCTTTACCGGGAGTTCGTCCGCCTAGCAACGAGGACGTACATATTTATTCAGGTAAAATTACATGGAAATCGGAAAATGGATCCGTAATCCCAGTGCTGTGCGGGAATTGCTGGCCACTTCGTCTTGTCCTTCATGCTCCAAAATAGCTGTACACAAATCAGGTTGTTTCATTCCCCATGTGAAAGGATTGCTGGAAATATAATGTAACAGCCACCCAAAAACTGAACAAGTACTAACAAGAATGGGCGGGTGGGCGGGAAGTCCGGACTGATCAACAGCTAGGCGAACACAGACACCTGTACGTGTCNTCACTTCTCTTTCTTTTTTCAAACGTTTGAAGGAGTTAGCGGACAAGTCATGTTCCTCCCTTATATCGTCCCGTAGACCTTTCAATTTTGCGTCAAGGTAGGTAGTAAATAAGTCCAAAGCCTGGAAGGCGTCGTTATTAGAACTAACTGGTTTTGGGGCCGGAACACTATCCGTAGGACCAATACTATCCCCCTCGGTATTTAACTCGGTCATATCAGCGATAACAAGTACGTCCGGACTGATCGACAGCTAGGCGAACACAGACACCTGTACGTGTCGCTACTGTCCCAAGCATACCTGTCTCACGTGCACTAGTAGCTGCACGTGCGAGACAAGACACGGACATCCCGTCCACTCGTTTACATAACAATGATAAATATATTTGTTTTTCATAAACTCGAAAAAAGTCAAGACAATACACATACACACTGGGTCAAGTACTAGGTACATTTCATCTGCAGGCAAGTGAAAACGTTTGTCGATTTGTCAAGTGGACCAGTGCAAAGTAATCTATTGTATATTACTATATTAACAGAATGTCATTTTAATACTAATTACTGTCACTAATACAGTTTTCATGCTGTTTAAAACACTTAAAATGTCATTAAGTCTATTTCCATGAAATGGACGTGTACCATGCACATATGATGATTTTTGGACCAATTCATTTTATTGCCGGTTTTGTATTATTTCCAAACCTTGTGCCAGAAAGACCTTTTCAAACATTGTGTTCCTGCCCCATTCCGTCTTTGCATATTTCAGAGTTATCTTCTCTTGAGAACAGGTATTGATTGTTACATCACTTGTTTAAGAGAGTAACGTCATCAATTTTTGAAAAAACAACATAATTTTCTCACACAAACCAATGACGTAACAATCAATACCTGCTCCCAAGAGAAGATAACTCCGCAATACGCAAAGACGGAAAAGAATTCAACAAGCATACATATACACCAAAGGAGTAACACCAACACCTACATGTACAACAAGTACTAATTGTAATGAGGGACCACTACAGAAGTCCCCCAAACTGCCCCCATAGTCGCAAAGATGCATCAGAAAAGGATCACAATACCATAATACACCAGCAATGTACATACTTAATTTGACCATCGATTGATTTCTAAATTGCGACGAATCAGAAGCCTCTGTGTGGTTGCTATTGCAACGAAATTCATGTGGTTGAATTCGCAGTCCCCTAATACCCCTATATACCAATTTTCATAAAAATGGAACAATATCTAAAATTTGACCAATCAGATGCTTCCATGTGGTTGCTATGGCAACGTAACCTATGCGGTTGAATTCGCAGTCCCCTAATACCCCTATATACCAATTTTCATAAAAATCAAACAATATCTGAATTTCGACCAATCAGATGCCTCCGTGCCATGTGGTTGTTATGGCAACAATCTGAAAATAAAGACTTTAATGCACAACTACTTATATGCCCATTATTAATCCTGTTAAGTTTCATCAAGATATGACTTATGGTCTTATGAGGAGTTGCCATCAATTTTCGTCATACTTTTATCTCATGCAAGGATTGGTCACCAGTTACTCGAACAGAAAGGCGAACATGTCCAAACATTTGAAAACCATTCATGTGTAATACTACTTGTTGCTATTGGCTATAACAACATTTGTTGTTTGTAGGCCCAGGGATGCTTCACACAAAATCTTGTCAAAATCCATACAGCTGTTCTGGACTTGTAGGTTTTTATTTTAAATAACATTGACCAATGGTTGCCAGACAATTAATGGATACCATGTTACGACAGATAAATTGGTTAACACAGAAAACGCATTTTACATACAATATACAGTAGCAGCAATAATATCATTAATACATATTACAATGATTTTTATACAAACTTTATATTACAGTTTTTGGATAGGTTAATCTCTATTGAAAAAATGGTTTTGACAAATTTTCAATTTATCACAAAACCCCTTTATAACACCAAAATTTCTCTGGACAAATAATGGTGGCAGTATAACAAGGTTTTATTTTACTGTGAAATTAATAACAAATTAATCCACCCTTACCCTAGCACTATGTGGTATGACCACTACACCTTAAATCTGTGTTAAGTGGATCCTGTGAATTTGATAGTTTTAAAACTCATCTCACCCCTGAAATTTCTTAATGAACTATTCCAACCTTTGAATTGGAAGAGTTCAAATGTGTCGTCAGGGGTGAATGAGCTTAGCAAATCTGCGAAAAAATATTCTGTCACTGTTTTCATAACTAGTGTTAGGAATCACCTAAAATACTATGATTCATCAACACTTCAATGGATACACTGATGATGGAAATCTATCATATTTGCTAAATGAGATTTTATCACGGTGACAAAGAGCAAAAGGAACACATACATGTACATTTAGATGAATGAACGCGATTCGGAATGGAGTTGAAAGAACTAAAAAGGAACATTATATTCATATATATAGGATCAGATATTTTTTGCATTTGTTACTTATTGGATTTTTTTTATTCTACAGGTTTTTCAATCTGTAGAGCACATAACTACTGCTTCTAAAACGTTTGGTATAATAACAAATCAAGTCGTTCATAAAATTCCAGGTACAAAAATATATAAATATATAAAACTGATAAAACGATACATGTACAACAAATAGAAAAATTTCTTGACCAATTATGTGTATCATTCGGATCCTTTGGATTTCATTTCGTATACTCACATCTGATCGGACTTTCAGAGGAAGTATTTTTCAATAATTTTTATACCCATTTGTTATAAATGTATAAATATATATTAATAGATGCAAGCATTTACATTCTGAAACCTGGTTTCAATTGCCACATTGCATTTTAAAGTCCTTTTCCATTTTTCATCACAATTTCTTAACTGGTAACACCAGTTGATTCAAGATAAATAATGAAGTTTTCAATAAAATAATGACAATGTTTGAAAACACTCTAGAAAACCCCGAAAACTATCATATTTAAACAGGGAAAACCTGCCCCCCTCCAAGTGTCTTGTTATCTACAGCTTTACACCCGTCATCTGTCAACAAATGTTGACAAGTGTATATCCATGCGTTAACCCTTTCACCATTGTAGACCATAATGAACTTATCCAGATCAATGCATGGTAGAGTTTAATAAAGTTATATAGGGATGAAAGGTTAAAGACAATGACCCCATATAAGGTATCTGTTCATTTCAAACAACAAAAGATGGGCGTGTCATGAAATTATTTATAAAAGTGATTATTTTCCGACAACCTGATCTTTTGTGCTGTTTTAATTATAACTAATCAAAACACTTAACTCAGTGAGGTCATATATCAAAACTAAACTGTTCAATAATTAATAAGAGTCTGGAGATATCTTTTATCCAGACAGTGTCAAACCAGAAGATGATATGCATGATCTAGCTGAGGTGCCTCCAACAATATAGCACTTTACCAGTTTTCATTTCTGTTCATTCTAAAATACATATTTAAAGAACAAAGATTTACCAACTATGTGTTGTTATTTATCAAAACTTTTGAACGCATTTCTTTTCTCACCTTAAAAATTTTTTTTTTCCTTAAATATGTTATTCAAGGATTCTTCAAACCGCCAAAACTGAAATTTCCACTATTGGAGGGACTGTAACTGAATTTTTAAACATTGGTGTGAATATTTATACAAAATACAAATCCTAACTGATCCAACTAAAATATAATATGAAATTTTTGATTTAAATTTTACATTACCAGTATTTTTATTATATCAAATGAAATTGGTGTTAGAAAAATTATACTATCTTATGATATTTGGATGGTTTACATATCTATAATCTTCAAAAAGTAGAAATGACCAAATTTATATTAACAGATAAGTACCAGTACTTAAGAATATCACCATGCATTTTAAAAATCTCAGCACTGCTATTGATATGCATACTTGCCAACTCTCCCTATTTAGGAGGGAGACTCCCATCTTTGGACCCTTAAATTGAGCATTTTTAACCAGTGAATTTGCTTAGTCTGAATCTGGTCCTACTTTCTAAGATCTGCTGATTTCATCTGAAAGAACAGCTCAAAATATGCCATTTAAAATTGTTATTTTTTCCTTGGGGTTACATACACATATTTATTTATGGTTTTAATTCTGAACATGTGTTATCTATGTAATCCAATGGAAATTTCAAAAAGTTAGCAAGTATGAATATGAGATCTTTTTTGAAGCCGATTTGTTTCAAAATAATTCTAAATCATAAAAATTCCTTCAAATAGACTCTAAAATCATCAATGGAAGATCCTGCTTCTATTAACAATGCTTTGCTATATACACGCAATGTGTAAAACAGTGTCACAAAGTCTGTTGTGCTGAAGAATGTGTCCGCTAAGGCAAAACCCAATGTGGAAGGGATGAATCCGCGGCCATATTCCACCATCCATGTGCCAGCTTTCCATTGGACAGCGGACACTTCGCCCCAGCCATGGAAAACAGTTTCTCCTGTAAATAAAACACAGTTAATTAATTAAATGTTTACACATATGTAAAACTTTATGTCTGTGCAATTTTTTTTTTTAACAATTTTATTTTTAAGGCCAGATAGACTTATATGTATTTCCAATTTCCCATATCTAAATATTTAACATCACTGTACCCAAATTGGGACACTTAAGGTAAATATCAATGTTCTTTATACCATACTGTCATTTCCAAAAAAGTTTGTTAATTTTTTGTAAAGAGATAATATATACTTTTCATTTCTATTACAATTTGATATTTCAGGCGTGTGGTTCTATAAAAAGAACGTGAAATATCATCAGAGTTATCTAGGCCCTTGATTCAGCATTACTGTACCCTGAAAGGGACAGTTCCGGTATTTTGGCGAATATTTGTGGATAAATGATCAATATCAGCAGAAAATATGCGGAGTTGAAATATTTTAGAGTCAACCTGGGGTTCTATTCTCCGAACTAGCATTAGTTTTTGATAAGATAGACTTTTGAAAATGAAATAAAAAAAATAGCGTCGCACGGCATGTAAATCGTGAGAGTCTTGATTTGGTAATTATTCTTACCTTTAAATTGTCCTTGTAACGATGATCAGCAGACAATAAAGCTTATATACAGTTAAAATGTCATAAAAGTATCATCAAGTGAAAACTGCATACATAAACGACTTCTTTGCATGTAATGACAGTTTCTTAATTGAGCCGTTTTCCTACAAGTGTCCCGATTTGGTTACAGTGACAGTAAATGCCTAATTTGTTGTTGAAGTCAAATTATATCTGTGCAATTATATCAAAATAAACTGAAAAGGTATCTGGAAAAGCCACTAACTTCAGCCTTCAGGTTGAGTATATAAAACAAAAGGCCCAGAGGGCCTGTATCGCTCCTGAATATGTTTAAAATAATTGGTATGAAGTAAAGATACATGTATAGCACTTCATGGTAGGTGCTGTAAGTACATATGAAATTTCAGAAAGATCCATCCAGTACTTGAGATATAGCGAGAACAAACTTCAAACAGAGCCCCACCCCTATGCCCCTAGGGGGGTCATACCCACCAATTATACAAAATTGAGACCCCTTGGTCCAAGGATGCTCCAGACTAAATATGGAAAAAATCCCTTAATCTCGATGGTCAAAGCAGGATTTAATAGGTTTTACCTCTATTTCTCCTATTGGGCCCCGCCTCTCTGCCTCCAGGGGGGTTAGACACACCGTTTATACAAAATTGGTTCCCCTTCACCCAATGATGCTTCATACCAAATTTGGACAAAATCCTGTCATTCGTACAGAAGAAGAAGGTATTTGAAGAATTTGCTATGTTTCCCCTATTGGGCCCCTCCCTTCTGTCCCCAGGTGGGCCACACTCGCTGTTTATACGAAATTGAGTCCCTTTTGTCCAAGGATGTTCCAGACTAAATTAGGATAAAATCCCTCAATCCATATGGTAGAAGAAGGATTATAAAGGTTTTACTTCTATTTCCCCTATTGGGCCCCACCCCTCATGTCCCAGGGGGGCCACACCCATCGTTTATACAAAATTGGTTCCCCTTTACCCAAGGATGCTCCACACCAAATATGGACCAAATCCTTTCATTCCTACAGAAGAAGAAGGATTTTAAAGAATAATTTGCTATGTTTCCCCTATTGGGCCCGCCCCTCAGGCCGCTGGGGGGCTACACCCACGGTTTATACAAAATTGGTTCCCCTTCATCCAAGGATGCTTCAGACCAAATATGGTAAAAAAAAACATACATTCCTACAGAAGAAGAAGGATATTAAAGAATTCGCTATATTTCCCCTATTGGGCCCCGCCCCTCAGGTCCCAGGGGGGCCACACCCACCGTTTATACAAAATTCGTTCCCCTTTACCCAAGGATGCTCGACACTAAATATGGAACAAATCCTTTCCTTCCGACAGAAGAAGAAGGATTTTAAAGAATTATTTGCTATGTTTCCCCTATTGGGCCCCACCTCTCAGGCCCCTGGCGGGCCAAACCCATGGTTTATACAAAATTGATTTCCCTTCACCCAAGGATGCTTCAGACCAAATATGGAACAAATCCTTGCATTCCTACAGAAGAAGGATATTAAAGAATTTGCTATATTTCCCCTATTGGGCCCCGCCCCCCAGCCCCCAGGGGGGCCACACCCACCATTTATACAAAATTGAGTCCCCTTGGCCTAAGGATACCCTAGACCAAATTTAGTCAAAATCTACGTGGCCATTCAGGACTAGTAGCGTTTTAAAGGAAAAGTTGACGGACGGACGACAGACGACGGACGCTGCGGTATGGCATAAGCTCACCATGGTCCTTCGGACCAGGTGAGCTAAAAATAGAGAATTTGTATGTTCTATGCAAAATATTGTATTTATATAGAGCTAGCAATAAGCCCAGTCGTGGTAATATCTAGCTAACATAAGATAGATATACAATTAATACAATTAGCATACACATTAATCAATACAATTTTGAGGAATTTGCAGGAGCTGCCTTAATTATCAGGCGTTAACTACTAATCCTATGCCACCTGGCTAATATCTCCCTATGTGTGTATGCCTGGAGATGTATCTAGCTCCCCTATACCTGTTGAATTTCTCTAGAAATGCCAACAAACGTTGTTTCATAGTCACCCCAACTTTCCCCTTCTGTAAATCGAGTCAGAATTATGTGTAGGTCCTTTTGCTTATTATTGCAGGATATGTACTCTAATTATAAAAAGAAAATCAACTTTTGAAAATAAGTTTCTTCCAGAATGACTTAGTACAGTGAAGCGTAAAAGAGTTTATGATACAAGGGGAAAATAATCACTCAAGTCAAAGAGCAATGATAATTACATAGATTGACAACAATTAAACTACTACTGGTTAGATTTATCCATTTTTAAATCTTTAATTGCTTTTGAATAGGCAAAGAACTGTAATTGCTTTTATTTACAAACAAGGCATCACAAGTGATACAAATCCCCTCGCATTCACACATTGTGACATATGTAAGGGGAAATGAAGTCGTTAGAGTGATGACAAAGATCTTTCTAAAAACAGTAAAAGTGACTTTGACCTTTAACGCAGTAATCTGAAACACAAACTTGTTCAAGATATTGTCATACTTCACACTTGTATGAAGTTTCATGAAATTCCGTTGAGCGCTAGAGTGATGACAAAGAGTGTAACATACATTACTTACGTACTTACTTATATGTACGTACATGTACGTACACGGAATCCTATATCCCCTCAAACTTTCGTTGCGAGGAGATATCATCTCCAAAAGTAATCTTTTTGGTTTGGGTGAAAATTATTTTGAAAATATAAATTTAAATACTTTGCTTAGAATAATATATAATTAAAATAAATCTTTATTCATAACAAAGTAAAAAAACACTTCAAATGTACACCCAGTTCCTACCAAGGGTGGCATTTCTTTGTATCAACACCTGCATAATTTTTGAGATAATTGGAAAACCTACCTGGTGCAAACACTTTGGAGGACAGTTCCCCTTCCTTCCACTGCCTGAATGACCCGGTCAGTATTGTGTCTGAAATATTGGCCCAATACCTTCCTGTTGGAGATAAAATAATAATTTAATAATAATTTGAGGTTCTTATATACCGCTTTATCCCAGCCTACTTCGTAGGTCGTCTCAATCAAAGTGGTTCACAAATTATTATCCATGGTTATAGGGCCTTTGCAATCAGCCAATATCTTTCTCAACTCCCCTGGGAGCATACAGCCAGTACTGCCATTTCAGCGCTCACAGCTAGCCTTCAACAATTCTAGCACTGCCCAGCCACTTACTCATTTTTACAGCTGAGTAGACTAGAACAAGCGGAGTTAAGTATCTTGCTCAAAGATACAACACAGTGTCGTACTGTGACTTGAAAATCAGAAAATGTTTAATTCATGTGGAATTAGGATTTCTAAAGGTTTTTATTATGTTTCATTCATATTTTCTGAAAATTGGATCCAAGTCCAAAACCACAGTCTTTGATTTCATGATTTACTAATGGTAGAGTGGTTAAAATCTGGACTTCTATACAGATCAAATTTTCCCTGCATATATCTCTATCAAGGGCTGAAATTTGTCAGCGTTCCAATGCAGATCTAGACATATCATTCTTCTTAATTTGATACAGAAAAATCCCAAAATCTGCACTGAAGGAAAGTGTTGTTTCTCTTAAAAAGAATCGCTTCATTCAAAACAAAAATGTATTCTTTGATTTTTCTTTTAAGTGTTTTATAACAAGGGAGATTTCTAAAATCCTACATTCTGTAAAATACATTGAAAGATTGAACAAAATTGGATTTAAATGCTTCAAAACACCACAGTTTTTTCCTATCAAGGAAAGAAAATAGTGTGCTTCCACCGGGGATCGAACCCGTGATCTCCAGGTTCCTAGTGGGACACTCTACCACAGAGCTAAAGGGAATTCAAAATTCAAAATTCCCTCTAGCTCGACCATAATCCTATGCACAATTAAAATCTGCCACACTAATCCCCCCTTTTGTAATTATAATGATAACACTTATGAGCCAAGCCAAGTGGATCCTTAAAATGGAACCTGTGCTGGAATATATCATAAGTATGATTAAAGAATTAGAGTTGCTGCCCTTTGAACACTGATGGAAATATTAAAATCTCTAGGAAATGAAACCAGAATTTGAAATGTGGCAAGAAAAAGCGCTTCTCAATTACAGTGCTTCCGAATTCAAAAGCATTAAAAAGTACTTAAGTTTTCAACTTTGTGTGGTGGATTCTGTATAAGATGAAAGAAAGTATCGGATATTTAGCTTGACAGTATATATGATGATATTCATACCCGAGTTTCCTGAAGTGTCTACAGCGGTTCCAAAGAACAAAATGTATTCCGTCAGGGATGCATGCAGTATACACATGCTTCCCATCCAACCTCCAGCATTCATAAACATCCACTGTTCATCCTCCTCGGACAGGATGTGTCCAGGGAAACGCTTACGTAGCTCCGTCTTGATCTTACTATAGGCAAACTCCACTCCCTGACCTGTAAAATACAAAAATGTCATAATTAATGATATCATTGATATCCTCCATATGCACGTTTCTAGCCCAAGTTTCCTCTGGCCCTAACACCAGACTTAGACAATTTGACAGATAGATGTATTATTTTTGTTTAGAAGATTTCCGGACCACGTCTTTTTGTTGATTAGTCACTCCCAGATACCAAACGGAGTCTGAAAATTCCACATTTTTCATATAGCAGTGCAATCTATACCAGACATATATATACCTAATGTCTAAGTCTGGTGTTAGGGTCAGATGAAACTCGGGCTAGCACGTTTCAAATGGTCTATTTTTGTTCTAATCAGTCCATGTTAATTACCTTTTTTTTTTTCACTAGGACATTGAAAAATTCTCATTGAAAAGGTGAAAAATCAGTGCATAGCAATTGTAACAAATCTTCAATTTGATTAAAATCAGGTGACAAATGCTGCTGGAGAAAATAAATTGTGGTACTCCAATATTAAATTATTTTAATGTGACAAGGAATTTTCTTTAATTGATCATAAATACAATCAAGGTATTTGTTCCTGTTAATTCTTATTTACTGATACTGCAACTAAAATATGGACATTCAGAAAATGGGAGGGGGGATACATGTACATATAAGCATCACAGTGGCTCAGTTTCGGGATTTTCAGTAATATATGACGTAAATAGTTATAATTTTGTTTAATAATGAACCTATACACACGAGTAAATAATAACAGCAACACTTTTTATCCGGTAACCTGGTAACTGTACCCTCAATTTGTATAAGGTTTTAGAATGTGTATAAACACCGGATAAAAAGTGTTACTGTTATTTACTGGTGTGTATAGGTTTACTATTAACCGAAACTGTTACGATTTACGTCATATATTACTAAACAAAAAACCGAAACCAAGCCCATGTGCTCTGAGCCCCAGTGAACAGGTGAACAAACCCGGAACTTGTTAGCGGTCACCTGTATGGGCGTATTTGGTTGCAATGGCTGCAATCTCTGCATCGTCTGTTAAGTATGTCTTTGTTCTGAGCCAGAAGGTCACGCAATGTGTCAGAAATACCATGAGAATTATCCATTTAACTACGGAATAGATAAAACCGAAAGTTGACCACATCTTGTTTGTATTTCTTCAACGTCAATTTGGCACTTGAAACACGGTCACTGCGACGCTTCAAAAAGTTTAAAGATGCAAGCTTCGTACATGTGTGACATAGCTATAGGGCCAAGATGGGGGAGTTTAAGAATTCAAGATTGACACGGGAATATTTTTTTATACGCACTATACTCAAAAATTCTTCAAGATGTTATGAAAAAAAATATTCTTTTTTTTACGTTTCATATAAGATACGTCACGATTGTGTTTTTTTTTCATTTTAGCTTGCCAAAGGCTCACTACAATACTATTTTTACACTCGTTTCATAAACCCCATATGGAATGAAAAATCATTTTAATGAAAATATTTCAATCTTTGTTACGCATTTAGCTCGGTTGTCGGTTTCATGTATATGCCAATAATACTTTCATGAATATTTTGTTTGTCTGTTTGTGATTTACGTCCTATCAACAGCTATGGTCATTTAAGGACGTGTCATATAACTATTTTCGTTCTATAACTGTATATCAATCATAATCGGTATATATATATATATATATATATATCCACCAAGCAGAACAAACCAGACTTCCCTGTGGCAAGGCATTTTAATATGCCTATATCTAGCCACAGTTGGAAAGACATGCATGTTGTTGCCATAGATCATTGCCCTACATGGGATGAAACGAGACGACGTACAAGAGAACGGTTTTGGATCACCAATCTACAAACCCGCTACCCTCGAGGTATGAACGAACGATAGGCGGTTGCCATCCGCTCGTTTTCCTTCCAGGGGCCATTTGACCTAATGATGCATTATTGCACAGTTGGTCTGCTATCTCGCCTGCCTGCTGCTGCATGTCAGTGTGTGTGACCAACAGCCGTTGTCAGATTAATTTGCAGATTCATACATAGTTTCTCTCTCATTTGTACAAAAGGTGCATCTTTCAGTTTCAGCTAATTTGCATCTCATTAATTTTGTGTTGGTATAGATGATCCTGTGTCTGATTTTATACTGAAAGTTAATAAGTTTTGCGTCATCAGTTATGGCCCTTGGAATCGAGTTAAAAGATTCCCAAGATTCTTCACTAATATTACTATGAAGATCTTCTTGCCATTTTCTTTGACTATTCACCGGTTTTTCAGAGATAGTTTGGATAAGAATATGATAGAAATCAAATATACTGCCACTAGAGTTAAGTTTTTATCACATGAAATCAAAAGAATATTTAAAATTAAGAAATTTCCATTTTGATCCTCTATTTTTGACAAAAATTTGAATCCAAAAGAGTTTTTAAATAGGATTGCTACTTCTCTACTATTTGACGTATATGAACCAAACTAGGCTTCATATCCCCACTCATTTTTCCATTGATTTTCAACCTTTTTATATGAATATGTATCTATAAGAAAAGTAATGTCATATTTATTCCTACATTTTCAAAGAAATCCCTTCGTTTTATTGGATCTGAAGACAACCCTCTACAATTTAAGCTTCCGATTATAAGCCCTTTACCCATGGTCATAAATGCATCTACATGGTTTTAAAATACTAGACTCACCTATATTAGTAGTTTCGGTTACATACACGATTCCATGATCTGTTATGTGCAAGTGCATAAAAATGTTATGTTGTGAGTTACATGTATATATTATTAGGTCATGTGCTATAGTTAATGTGATTATTTTTTTTTCTCCATTTTAAGTTTCCCAAACTCAAATTCTTTGCTTTGTCTGAATAATATCTGCCAACTGGCACGAAAATCAGCCCAACTTCACTATGGGAATATTATAAACGATTGTCGCAACCAACAAAAATGGCGTCCAACCTACCGTCAACATATATGACACTCACGCATGACTACACACACATAGGCAGGTGCCCTATTCACCTGAGTACCCATGCACAGGTAACATTGGGTGTTCAGTGTGAATCTCACATAGGTAATGTTAAGTTATAACACATTAGTAACAACAATTGTATATCCATGTAAACATCATTATCACTTTTCATCACATTGCCCCCTCCAAGATTGGATATTGTCCTAAATACTCATCAATGAAAACACTAGAGGGAGCAGTACCACAAAAGAACCTTGCTTGTATGTACAATATTGTTTGTTTTAACAGAACTTTATTAAGGACAATTAATAACGAAATTAGAGAATTCACCTCTTGATAAGTCATAAACCCACTTAAAGAATGAAATTAATAATATAATGTCATTCCACACTTCCTATATACAATGATCGATCAATTTCATGTCTTGGGTACTGGAGAAGTAATAAAATTACAAGAAATTGTCTACCACATTCAGTCCTTTAGAAATCACAAAAATAATGTCTTCCATATTGAATGTTTTCTGATTGCACATAGTCCATCAGAAATCACTGGCGGCTATTCACCACAAACACATCTCCTTGAGAATTTTAACTATGATTACGCAATGTCTCTTTGGTGATAAACAAAATGCATTTGAAATTAGGTAGCAATTGCGTTTATCCTAGTCTGTACCGTATCTATTAGTCCACTCAGACGGTACTCCTTTGCTTCTCTGAGAATTTGAGCGAAAGATTTCCTGTCCTTTGTCCACCTCACATTTATTCCTCAAATAGTTGAGGATATGAGAAAAGTGATTGGAGTCACGATCAACACAAATCTCTTGACTTTTCCTGTATCCTAGCTGTGGATTGGTGAGGATGCTGAAAAGACCAGCAGGGTCTGCACGCAGCGTGTGTGATATCTTTCCATTGTTACTTTGCGAACAGAGTCAGTGTGAGTCATCTACTTCCGGCAGTAGTTCACATACTTTTCGCACGAGTCAGAGACAGGCAGAGGTGCATAGGTGTCATCTTGCCGCTTGCTGTCATCAGCAGCTGACTCACAAGTTATTTTTTCGTCATTCCCCAAGGACAAAATGTCTTCGTCTCTGTGCACATTTGTAGACAGCAGTCGGTTTTTTTCTGCAGAAGTGGTGGTGCTGTCACCAGTATTGGTGGTCAATGAACTGTCCGTGGAAGGTTTCCTGTATGTAGTGGAAGCTTTGGAGGATCGCCTCGAGGAAACTGATGATTGCTGCCTGCTTTCTCTTCCATAGGATTATCTCATCCTCTGTGGTGATCTTGACATTGACCTTCTTCCTGGACAAAGTTTCTTTTTCAGCTCAAACTCCTTGAACCTTTTATATTCCTGAAGAGCATTCTCTCCCTTTACTCCAGTGATTCTGTCATAGTAAAGGCTTAGATGTGGCTTATCTCCCCTTGTACATCAATGAATTCCATCTTGTCTTGCGGACCAATAACGGTTATATGTACCACGCCATCCAAATGACGGGTGTTGTTCCAGAACATGACGTTCAACTGTTGTCTGGGAGGTGAACACATGACCATCCTCACAAACATTGCATTCCGCGCCTACTTTTGGCAGGACCTTGTGGGATAGAGAAACTAGTTCTATCACCTTATGTGAAGCTCTGCTTGGGCTCAGATATATTACTCCCAATATCGGAACTGTCAGATTCGTTATAGTTAAGTCTATCATCTTCATCAGAGCATTGTTCCAGAACTAGGTCAGAGATGGGACCATCAGAACTCTCAGTTCTTTGACCCTGGGTATCTTGAGATCTGTTCAAGATGTCTGTTCCAAGGTCAAGAGTTTTATTTAATGAAACATCTATGCTATCACGAACAAACCAAGCTGGTTTGTTTTCACCTACATAAGGCTTCAGGCGATTGTAATGTACAACTTTGGGCTTTGAGCGTGGTGACTGTTGAATCCTGTAGGTTACATCAGAAAGCTTTTTGGTGATGATGAATGGACCTCTCCATGGCAATTGAGGTTTAGGTGAAAAACATTTCTTCCGAACAACATTATGGAGCCAAACAGTATCACCCTCCTCATACTGGGAGCACTCTTGTTTTAGATCGTAGTTCCTTTTCATGGCCTCATGAGCCAGAATCAGTCTTCCCAAAGCAAACTTATGGATTTCTATAAAATTCTTTCCTCAAGGTCATATGCATAATCGCTGTTAGGCTCTGCTTGGTCCTATGCTTCCCAAACATGAGGTCCACTGGCAAGGTAATTGCTCTACCCAGCATCATGCTACATGTTGAAACTCCTGTGGAACTGTGAACTGCAGAGCGATATGCCATCATTAGCAAGGGAATGTACAAGTCCCAGTCACGCTGAGTATTGCTAATGAACTGAGATAGCATTGCCTCCACCGTCTGATTCAGCCCTTCCACCATGCCATCCGATTGGGGATAGAGAGGAGTGGTCCGTGTCTTTTCCATTCCTAGGATACTTCATATTTCCTTGAAAACTGCACTTTCAAAACTTGTGCCCTGATCTGGATGAATTTGTCGACGGACTCCAAACTGTGATATAAACCTGAGGACAAGGACCTCTGCTACTGTGATAGCTTCTTGATTTGCTATAGGGTAAGCATCACAACATTTGGTAAAGTAGTCCCCAACTACTAACAAATACCGATTGTCGTCATTTGTCAAGGGAAGTGGACCCATTATATCAATAGCGATACGTTCTAGAGGAGCACCTACTATATATTTTTTCAAAGGAGCTATCTGCGACCTAACAGGACGCTTTCTCCTAGTTTAATCATAACATAACCGACACCAGTGTTCGACATCATTCCTTAGCCCACACCAATAATATCTCAACCTTACTCTGGCAAGAGACTTAGCAATTCCCAGATGTCCAGCTGTTTCAGCATTGTGAAGCTGTCTCAAAAACTGTTCTCGCAGTTTCCCGGTTCCAACAAGCTACCATTGGATTGTTTCTTCATCATCGTTTTCCCACTTTCTATATAGAACGCTTGATCTGAGAAAAAGTGAATCCCAACGTGCCCAGTAGTGCTTCACCTTCTGAGACATATGGGAAACCTCCCCCCATTCAGGTCTCTGGTCGTTCTGCTTCCAATTAAAAACTGCCTATTATTGGATCCTCATTCTGCATTGCAGAAATTTGGTCAAGAGTCATCTCCCTTCACTTCCATGGTTATCTTTCCCAACCCGCTCTCTTGTCTCAGTATTTTCTCCTTCAGCGCTAAAAGCACATATACAGGCAGTGGAGCAATCTAGAATGTTCCCATCTTTTGCTTCAACTCTCTCGCAGTGTGGACAAGAAACCTCCACACAGGGTCGTCTGGAAAGTGAATCAGCATTCTAATGAACTTTGCCCTTGCGGTGTTTAATAATGAAATCATATTGCGACAGTACTTCTAATCAGCGAGCAAGTTGACCCTCTGGATTCCTGAAGTTCTTCAGCCAACACAAAGAGCCATGATAAGTCCTTACGATGAAGTGTTTGCCATAGAGGTAACAGTGAAAATGTTTCACTCCTTTCACAAAGGCTAAGAGCTCTCTGCGTGTTACGCCCTAATTCAGGGTTCTGGGTGGTGGCCTGACTCCAACCAATGGTCACTGTTAGCTGAAACTGCAGTGACATACCATTATTTGGGCTTGTGTCATGGAGGTTGTTTTGATGTTTTGTCTCTGCTCTCCTTCTCTAATCTGCCTGTCAGGTAGCACACCAGCAGGTATATAGGTACACTATTGAGTTTTGTCAAAGGTCATGCCCACTCGCGCATGACTTCACACACCTAGGCAGTGCCCTATTCACCTGAGTACCCATGCACAGGTACATGTAACACTGGGTATTCAGTGTGGATATCACCTAGGTAATATTAAGTTATAACACATTAGTAACGACATTTGTATATACATGTAAACATCATTATCAATTTTCATTATACAATTATGGACTTTTGTGTTGGTGAATATGATGTGATATGAACCTGAAAAAGTGATATTGACCGAGGCGTTTATGACTAGCTGATACCATAACGATATTAATGTCACCTACGTCACGCTGCTTAAAAGCTATTTTTAAGTAGGGATTTCAATATTTATGTTCTTTTATCCATTTATAAGTAAGTATACGACAATCTAACCTTTTATTGAATTATCTCCAGACAAAGCAGTCAATGTGGGCTGTTAATACTAGAAACGGGAATTCACCCAACTTTCTTTATAAAACGGTCTCGAGTCCTTTTTGATATACGAGTTTGAGATGCAATTAATCCTGTCATCCAATTATGATTTTCAGAACATGTTAGATTATAAAATGAGTCACGAACATATTGCATACTTATTAAAAGTCAACAAATAAATATGAATATAGAACGGCGCCGCCGCCATCTATTCCAGCGCAGTAGGCATTTTGCGTCTCAAAGTGCAAACATCTCCTTCTAAACGTTTTTCCCCCAATGATAAGATGCGTACTTCACTGTCGAACCATCTGGCATAGCTTCGTACACAGGTGACATGACTTTTTAACAATAATGATTAAAATAATGTTGACAATACCGCATTATCCATATCTATATGATGTTTCATAAGTTAGCTGTCCTACTGAAATATGTTTGCTCGCATTGAATAATATTTTCTTTTTAAAGTTTCGAGGTTGTTTTCTAGATGAAGAATAACCGTCAGATCTAAAACTGTGCTCTCATTCAATAAACATTGTTCTCTATCAATTAAATCAAATACAATCTCGTTCCTATTCCGGTGGTCAAACGATCCAGTCCGTGTTTTATTAGACAGACTGGCCCTTTTCTATAGTTTTTTCTTCGCCTTACAATCCAATCCCTTTGGTTGTGCGGAAGATGGTGGTCCTGAAAAGGGCCGTTTATGCAAAGTCTATGACAGAATAACGCAAAGCAGGTTTGTTGAATTGTAATTTAATATAATAATTCATTAATATCTCACAAACGATTGATGAGTTGTATAGAACATGTAAAGCGACATATTGTTCAGAAAAGGTTTTATCAACGATCAAGCGCAGGGTGTTTCACCAAAAGGTTGAAAAACAAGAATTGCAAATCAATGTATCACATCCTCAAGCTTCAAACCTCACAAGTTTTCGAGCTGATTCAGCATGCAACAAATACAATAAGCATTATTTATATGTTTTTAAACACATTACATAGATACATTCAACCAGAAGATATAATGGACCCAGATTAGAACCATGTCCACGTCCACGTAACACCAAGATGGCCCACTGCCATCCATCTTGAATTTGAGAGTTCAAGTTTGTGAGCGCTATTTCTCAGACAGTACTGTAGGGATCTTTTTCCAATTTCACATGTAGGTTCCCCATGATCCCTAGTTATGCATATCGTTTTTTGGGACTGACCACATCACTAAGATAGGTGACAACCAACCATCTATAATTTGAGAGTTAAAGTTTGTTAGCGTTATTTCTCAGCAAGTACTGGAGGGATCTTTCTTAAATTTCACATGAAGGTTCCCCATGGTTCTAAGTTATGAATGCAAATTTCGGGACTGAAGGAAAACCAAGATGGCTCACAGGCAGCAATCTTGAATTTGAAAGTTATTAAAGTGTTTTAAGTGCTATCTTTCAGAAAGTACTGGAGGGGTCTTTCGCAAATTTAACATGAAAGTTTCCCATGATACCTATTTACGCATATTAAATTTAGGGACTGAAGGGAAAACCAAGATGGCCGAAAGTTTAATTTGAGAATGAATGTAAGGAGGGGGTCTTTCTCAAATTTCACATAAGGGCTCCTATTGGTTCTTAGTTATGCATATTATGTTTTTGGACTTATCTGAAAACCAACATGCAGACGGGTGGTCATCGTGTTGCAGTTGAAGTTTGTTATCGCTATTTCGCAGAATGTATTGGAGGAATCTTTCTCAAATTTGATATGTAGGATCCCCTTAGTCTTCAGTTGTGCATGTTAACTTTTGAGGTTAATCAAGTGCACTATACAATGCAAATCTTGAAGAATTTACTTGAACAGAAGTTGGTGTACACCACCTTAATTTGGTTAAAATATTAGAAAGATGCATTTCAAACCTTATATTGATGACAAAATCACATTCAAAATATTGTATTCCATCTTTCCTTGTGGTTTCCTTTGGTTCGTATGACACATTTTAAACTGTTATACCAAATGGTGAATGGTCATTTTGTTGGAACGACGTCATGTTTTCTAAGGTAACTAGTTCCGTCAAGTAATAAATGTCAAACAGAAACCAATGAATAGCTCCCATCAATTTCCATCATACTTTATCATGCAAGGATTGGTCCGCGATTACTCGAACAGAAAGGCGAACATGTCCAAACATTTGAAAACCATTCATGTGTAATACTGTTTGTTGCTACTGGCTTATAATAATATTTTTTGTTGATAGGCCAAGGAATGCTTCACACAAAATCTTGTCAAAAGAAATACAGCTGGGTTTTTTTTTTTAAATAAAAAGTTGACAAATGGTTGCCAGACAATGGATACCATGTCACGACAGAAAAATTAGTAAACGCAGAAAAAGCATTTTACTTACAATATACAGTATCAGTAGGAATATTATAAATACATTTTACAAAGACTTTTATAAACTTTATATTACAGTTTTTGGATAGGTTAATCTCTATTGAACAATTGGTTTTGACAAATTGTCAGTTTATCGGAAAACCCCTTTATAACACCAAAATTTCTTTGGACAAATGGTGGCAGTATAACTAGGTTTTACTTTACTGTGAAATGAATAACAAATTAATCCGCCCTTACCCTAGCACTATGTGTTATGACCACTGCATCTTAAATATGTGTAAAGTTGGTCCTGTAAAATTGATAGTTGACTCATTCACTCCTGAAATTTCTTAATGAACTAATCCAACCTTTGAATTGGAAGAGGTCAAACTTGTCTTCAGGGTTGAATGAGCTAAGCAAATATACGAAAAAATATTCTGCTACTATTCTCATAACTAGTGTTAGGAATCACCTAAAATACTATGATTCATCAACACTTCAATGGATACACTGATGATGGAAATCTATCATATTTGCTAAATGAGATTTTATCACGGTGACAAATAACAAAAGGAACACATACATGTACATTTAGATGAATGAATGAGATTCGGATTGGAGTTGAAAGAACTGAAAAGGAACCCTTTTCATATATATAGGATAAGTTATTTTTTGCATTTGTTACTTATTGGAATTTTTTATTCTACATGTTTTTAAATCAAAAAAGCTCATAGCTACTGCTTCGAAAAAGTTTGGTATCATATCAAATCAAGTTATTCATAAAATTTCAGGTACAAAAATATATAAATATATAAAACTGACAAAACGATACATGTACAACAAACAAATTGAAAAAATCCTATTATGTTTATCATTCGGGTCCTTTGGACTTCAATTCCTATACTCAACTTCCGTCGGACTTACAGAGGAATGTTTTTTTCAATAATTTGTATACCCATTTGTTATAAATGTATAAATATATATGAATAGATGCAAGCATTTACATTCTGAAACCTGGTTTCAATTGCCACATTGCATTTTAAAGTCCTTTTCCATTTTTCATCACAATTTCTTAACTGGTAACACCAGTTGATTCAAGATAAATAATGAAATTTTCAATAAAATAATGACAATGTTTGAAAACACTCTAGAAAACCGCGAAAACTATCATATTGATGCTAAACAGGGAAAACCTGCCCCTCTCCTAGTGTCTTGTTACGTGCTGATCAAAGGAACATATATATATATATCTTCAGCTTTTCACCCGTCATCTGTCAACAAATATTTACAAGTGTATATATTCATGCATTAACCCTTTCACCATTTAGTCATCCATAATGAACTTATCCAGATCAATGTATGGTATATAAGTTATATAGGGATTTAAGGTTTAAGGCAATGACCCTATATAAGGTATCTGTTCATTTCAAACAACAAAGATGGGCATGTCATGAACTTATTTATAAAAGTGATGATTTTCCGACAACTTGATCTTTTGTGCTGTTTTAATTATTACTCTATCAAAACGCTTAACACAGTTACAATAATTAATAAGAGTCTGGAGATATTTTTTGTCCAGACAGTGTCAAACCAAAAGATGATATGCATGATCTAGCTAAGGTGCCTGCAACAAAATAGCATTTTACCAGTTTTTATTTCTGTTCATTCTAAAATACACATTTAAAGAACAAAGATTTACCAACTATGTATTGTTCTCTCATCTTTAAAATTTATATTTCCTTAAATATGTTATTGAAGGATTCTTCAAACCACAAAATTGAAATTTCCACTATAGGAGGGACTGTGAATGATTTTTTTAAACATTTGTGTGAAATATTCATACATAATATATCCTAACTGATCCAACACAAATATCATATGAAATGTTGACATTTACATTACTTGTATTATATCAAAAGAAATATGTGTTAGAAAATGTATACTGTCTTATGATATTTGGATGGTTTACATATCTAATCCTCAAAAAGTAGAAATGACCAAATTTATATTAACAGATAAGTACCTGTACTTAAGAATATTACCATGCATTTTAAAAATCTCAGCACTGCTATTGATATGCATACTTGCCAAATCTCCCTATTTAGGAGGGAGACTCCCAATTTAGGAAGGAGACTCCCAATTTAGGAGGGAGACTCCCCATTTTGGACCCATAAATTGAGCATTTTCAACCAGTGAATTTGCTTAGTCTGAATCTGGTCCTACTTTCTAAGATCTGATGATTTCATCTGAAAGAACAGCTCAAAATATACCATTTAAAATTGTTATTTTTTCCCTAGGGTGTACATACACATATTTATTCATGGTTTTAATTCTGAACATGCGTTATCTATGTAATCCCATGGAAATTTCAAAAAGTTGGCAAGTATGAATATGAGATCTTTTTTGAAGCCGATTTGTTTTTAAATAATTCTAAATCATAATAGATCTTTCAAATAAACTCTAATTTCTGTTAGCAATGCTTTGCTATATACACGTAATGTGTAAAACAGTGTCAAAAAGTCTGTGATGAATTTGTCCGCTAAGGCAAAACCAAATGTGTAAGGGATGAATCCGCGGCCATATTCCACCATCAACGTGCCAGCTTCCAATTCGAACGGGGAAACTTCGTCCCAGGTGTGGAAAACAGTTTCTCCTGGAAATAAAACACAGTTAATTTACATGTTTACACATATATGTCAAAATGTATGTCTGTGCAATTCTTTTTTTTACAATTTTATATTTTGAACATTACAAATTATCTTACAAGAGTAATTTTCACACGCACTTGTTCATTCTTGCAACTTAATAGACCAGATAGATTTATATGTATTTCCAATTTCCCATATCTACTTATTTAACGTCACTGTACCCAAAATCGGGTAAAATTGATATTTCAGGCGCGTGGTTCTATAAAAAGAACGTGAAATATCATCAGAGTAATGTAGGCCCTTGAACCGGCGTTACTGTACCCTGAAAGGAACAGTTCCGGTATTTTGGCGACTATTTGGGAATAAACGATCAATGTCAGCAGATATTATGCAGAGTTGAAATATTTTAGAGTCAACGAGGGTTCTGATTAAATTTCTTCTCCGAACTAGGATGAGTTTTGATAAAATAGACTTTTTGTACATCAGAAAAGTCTTGATTTGGTAATTAAGTTTACCTTTAAATTGTCCATGTAACGATAATCAGCAGCCAATAAAGCTTAGATACAGTTAAATTGTTTTGAAAAGTATTATCAAACGAAAACTGTATACATACAAGTACTTCTTTGCATTGGATGACAGTTTTTTGGGCCGTTTTCCCACAAGTGTCCCGATTTGGTTACAATGACAGTAAATGTCTAAAAGAAATTGAATTCAAATTAAATCGTGTAATTATATCAAAATAAAATGAAAAGATATCTGGAAAAGCCACTAACCTCAGCCTTCAGGTTGAGTATTTAAAAAATAAAATCGTATGTTTATTCTATGTAAAATATTGTATGTATAGCTAGCAATAAGCCCAGTCTTGGTAATATCTAGCTAGCATAAGCCACTCTAAAGATAGATATACAATTACTACAATTAACATACACATTATTCAATACAATTTTGAGGAATTCGCAGGAGCTGCCTTATCAGGGTTTAACTACTAGTCCTATGTCACCTGGCTAATATCTCCCTATGTGTGTATGCCTGCGAATGTGCTAGAGATGTATCTAGCAATAAGCCCAGTCTTGGTGATAAGCCCACCCATACCTGTTGCACGTTGTTTCATAGTCACCCCAACTTTCCCCTTCTGTACTTTGAGTCAGAATTATATGTTGGCCCCTTTGCTCATTATTTCAAGATATGTACTCTTATTATAAAAAAACTCAACTATTGAATATAAGTTTCTCCCAGAAGGACTTAGTACAGTGAATTGCAAAAGAGTTTTATGATACAAGGGGGAAATATTAGATCTGTATAACATACTCAGTCATCACTCAAGTCAAAGAGCAATGATAGTTACAAAGATTGATAACAATTAAACCACTACTGGTTAGATTTATCCATTTTTAAATATTTAATTGCTTTTGAACAGGCAAAGAACTTTACTTGCATTTATTTACAAACAATGCATCACATGTGATACAAATCCCCTCGCATTCACACATTGTGACATATGTAAGAGGAAAAGAAGTCGCTAGAGTGATGACAAATATTTTTCTAAAAAAAGTAAAAATGACTTTGACCTTTAACGCAGTAATCTGAAATGCGAACTTGTTCAATGTATTGTCATACTTCACATCTGTATGAAGTTTCATGAAATTTCGTTGAGGAATGAGGTCGGTAGAGCGATGACAAAGAGTGTTATATACATTACTTACATGTACGTACGTACGACGTACGGGGAAACTCCTATATCCCCAGATATTCACTTCAAAAGTAATCTTTTTGGTTTGGGTGACAGTTATTTTGAAAATATAAATGTAAATCCTTTGCTTAGAATTATTATTTGATTAAAAAAATCTTTATGCATAACAAAGTAAAATAAACACTTAAAATGTACACCAAGTTCCTAGCAAGAGTAGCTCTTCTTTGTATCCACACCATCCAAACGTTAACTGTTGAGATAACTGGAAAACTTACCTGGTGCAAACACTTTGGAGGACAGTTGACCAAATTTCCACTGCCTGCATGACCCAGTCAGTATAGTGTATGAAGTATTGGCCCAATACCTTCCTGTTGGAAATAAAAAGGATAAAAAATATTATCATTGCTGTTTTTACTTGTTTGCCATACTAAAGGTTTGTGTTTCTTTGATTTTCTTGTGTTTTACGTCCTATTAACAGCTATGGTCATTTAAGGACGTGACAGGTTTAGGTGTTGGAGGAAAGCCGGAGTTCCCGGAGAAAAAACCCAACCTACGACCGGTACCCCAGGTTACTGACCCACGTAGGTCTCGAACCCTTGACCCAACGATGGAGGGCTAGTGGTAGCAGAGTATCAGACGCCTTAACCACTTGGCCATCGCGGCCCAACTAACAAAACAAAAGACAAACAAAATATATACAAAGAATTGAAGTAAAATATAATCAGAACATGTTTAATTCATGTGGAATTGGGATTTATGAAGGTTTCTATTATCTTTCGTTCATATTTTCTGAAAATACAGATCCAAGTCCAAAACCACAGTCACTGATTTCATGATTTAATAATGGTAGAGTGGATAAAATCTGGACTTCTATACAGATCAAAGTTTCCCTGCATATCTTTATATCAAGGGCTAAAATTTGACAGCGTTCCAATGCAGATCAAGACATATCATTCTTTTTAATTTGATACAGAAAAATCCCAAAATCTTCACTGAGTGTTGCTTCTCTTTAAAAGAATTGCTTCATTCAAAACAAAATTGTGTTCTTTGATTTTTCTTTTAGGTGTTTTATAACAAGAGAGATTTCCAAAAATCCTACATTCTGTAAAATGCATTAAAAGAATGAAAAAATGGATTTAAATGCTTCAAAACACCACAATTGTTTTCCTATCAAGGAAAATGGCAAAACAAATATGATTGTTCAATAGAGGTGTAACAGGAAAGAGAATAATGTGCTTCTAATGAGAATCGAATACTCGATCTCCAGGTTCCTAGTGAGACGCTCTACCACTGAGCTAAAGGGAATTCGAAATTCCCTCTAGCTCGACCATAATCCTATGTACAATTGAAATCTGCCACATTACTCCCCCCTTTTTAGATGTGTTCGCTCTCGAGTTCCAACTCTCTGTCACCACAGAAAGGGTCACGGAGCATCATTTGTAACAGGAAAGAGAAATAGTGTGCGGTTCCAACGGGGATCGAACAGTCGATCTCCAGGCTCCTAGTCGGAAGCTCTACCACTGAGCTAAAGGGAAATTTTCCTCTGGCTTCACACTATAAGGCGACCGTAATCCTATGTACAATTAAAATCTGCCACAGAGGTATTATCAGTATTGCATGATTGATCTAAATAAAAAACAGTTTTGTTTTTGTATAACTGTATTCATACAAACCAAGCTCCTAAGACACTGAACAGCTTTGTTTGGCACTTCACCTCAAATACCTCATGACAATCCTCTTTTATTTTATCAAGGTTACCCCTGGTTAACTATTAGTGCATCACAATACTTGTGTGCATCATGATATATTGTAATAATGTTTTCTGTCACAATACTCTCAGTTATTTTTTGACATTTTTTTTTATTTATGTGTTTGGTGTTATACAACTTGAAATGTGGCAAGAAAAAGCGCTTCTCAATTACAGTGTTTCCGAATTCAAAAGCATTAAAATGTAAAATTACTGAAGTTTTCAACTTTGTGTGGTGGATTCTGTATAAGATGAAAGCAAGTATCAGATCTTTAGCTTGACAGATACATAATGATATTCATACCAAAGAATGATACAATGTCTACATCGGTTCCAAAAAGCAAAATGTATTCTGACAGGGATGCATGCAGTATACACATTTTTCCCTTCCAACTTCTAGCATTCATAAACATCCACTGTTCATCCTCCTCGGACAGAATGTGTCCAGGGAAACGCTTACGTAGCTCCGTCTTGATCTTACTATAGGAAAACTCCACTCCCTGACCTGTAAAATACAAATATGTCATAATTAATGATAACATTGATATCCTCCATATGCACGATTCTAGCCCAAGTTTCCTCTGGCCCTAACACTAGACTTAGACATTTTGACTGAAAGATGTCTGGTTTGGGGCAGGAGCACACTGCTATATGGAAACGTGGAATTCTCCCGACACCGTTTGGTATCCCAGAGTTATGAGGTACTGACAACAAAAATCTACTACATATGACACAACACATATATCGATAAATGGATTATTTGTTGATCCAAATCAGCTCTTTTTATCACCAACAACTGCTAAATTGTCTTTTTGTTGATTAGTCACTCCCTGATACCAAACGGTGTCAGATAATTCCACATTTTCATATAGCATTGCGCCCTCAGCCTGGCCCCACACGAGACATCTATCTGTCAAAATGTCTAAGTCTCGTGTTAAGGCCAGATGAAACTCGGGCTAGCACGTTTTAATTGGTCTTTTTTTGTTGTTCAAATCAGTCCATGTTTATTACCTATTTTTTTCAATAGGACATTGAATAATTCTCATTGAAAAGGTAAAAAGTCAGTGCATAACAATTGTACCAAGTCTTCAATTTGATTCAAATCAGTAAACTTACTGCTGGAGGAAATAATTTGTTGTACCCCAATATTTTAATGTGACAAGGAATTTTTCTTTTATTGATCATAAATACAATCAAGGTATTTGTTCCTGTTAATTCTGATTTACTGATACTTCAACTAAAATATGGACATTCAGAAAATGGTAGGGGGGATACATGTACATGTCTGCATCACAGGGGCTCGGTTTTGGGATTTTGAGTAATATATGACATAAAACTGCCTCTTTGGCATAGGGGATATGTCCGGTGCACTTTGATGTCGCGAGAAACCGCGAGAGCGCGCGATAATTCTCGTGATTTGGAAAAACACCGCCGCTTCAATCATCATAGAAACTGATTGCACTAGAACAATTATACATTCTGGGGAATCCTGTACCGTAACATTTTCCAGAGTTCAAAGTAAATGATCTTTACATCACTTTTGATTTAATAATATGTGTTGTGTCGAATAGGCCTACTAGTAAAATGTCTCAGAATGCGAAAGTTTATATTGAACTCACGCCGTTGCATACTTTGTTTATTTTATGGCTTCACATCCACCTTCAACGACAGACCCTGCAGGTAGGGCGTAAGAATTGTACCTGCTGCCCCCAATTGCATGATCGTAAGAGGCGACTAAATTTGGGACCTTATCTCTTCTCTCCTTTCTAAATAACTTTCTTCTTCCTAATGTCTCCCTTGACAATGCCTCACTTTTGGCCATTTGTTGAGCGTTCGCCCCTGTGAGGAAGGCTTTGGGTTCTGTCCCCTGGCCGAGACATACCAAAGTCTT